TGTTTACTTCTATGATTTTTTGAATAATTCATAAAGTTGAAGAGCTGGGGGCAGTGACATGGGAATGCGGAGAGTAGCCAGCAAATGACAGCCATATGAAGCAGATATATTGAAAAGGGGTTTCCCGACTGATATAGCCAATTCAGCAAACTATTTAGAGCACACTTGAATGTGTCTGAATGTCTTTTCTTAAATATCAAAACCAAGTGGCACAAAACATTTTTCAAGCTAAAAGTTTGTGATAATGACATTTCAAATGGAAAAGGCTTGTTGTTTGTGGAATTTGGTTTGATTTTGCATCTAATGCAGTGATATTCAAAGTGTTTTTAACAGTCCAAATACTTTTTGGGAACACTTCATGCACCAGAAGGCTCAGCTAGACTCGTGTACAGAATATAAATCATGATCAGGCCTGCAGATGGGTTGATTAGAAGTTTTAACTTTTTACTCGAATACATAAATATACTTTTTTTCAGTTATACTTTGTTGCATGCACCTTACAAATATTAGCTACATAATATAATAAGCTACAATAGTAGCAACAGCCACTTGTAATTGCATAAAATTCCACAACCTAATTACATATTTTAATTAATAACATTCGTAGTTAATGCTGTAATATGGATGCTAAAGCATGGGCTTGTGTTATATAAGAAATACTATTTAATGAACAGCTACACATGTAGTGGCTTCATGCATTGCATTCAGCATGAAATTGTTCGAAGCATGAAAATTTTACAAGAGCTCATAAAGGGCTTCCATCAAAGCAGTAAAAAGCCCTGATTACACAGCAGCCTCGTACTGAGTGATTGTACATGTTTTCTGAGAAGAAATCTGTATAAGTGCTTTAGCAGGATTCTATAAGTTGTTTAATATAGTCTGTGCCTCAATTTAGTGAGTCGAGTTAGTGTGTGTGTATACACAGTTTCATTTCCCTTCTTTTTTTCTTTTAAAATGAGTTTATGCTAAAATGACTGCATTGTTGTCATTTCACCAATTCTGACTGCTGTCATAGAAAATTAAGATTTTTAGATGATTTAACTCTGCATTGCAGAAGTTACTTTGAAAATAAAAACTGTGGGAACTTAAGTACTGTACCATCGGTTACATTTGCACTATTTGCAATATCTCTGACCTTAGCTATGAAGGTTGCCTTTGATAGACGGTCTGTATCTTTTCCTCTGACCAAAGACATATGGAATATCAGATATGCATTTAAATGTTTTTTTCCAAACCCTTCTTTTTTTCCCTTTCTGACTCGGGCAACAAAACTCTCCTTTGACATAACACAAGGATCTCTGCGGTTAGGAGACGGGAGCAAGCTACCTAAAGCCCTTTAATAAATGGCTGTTGTTGTTCACGCTGACACCACAGGACCCAGGTGGCATGAAGCTGCCTGTTCTGTGTTTTAAATGTTACTTTTTTTTTATATTGACTACATACTCTTCCTGCAGTAAAGCTATTCAGATGTTCACATCAAAATTAGGCATCAAGAGCAAATGCGTCATTAGCGTTTCACTGTTAAATAATGCTATTCTAATATAACAATAATAACAAATCACTCTGAAAAATGTATCTAGCCTTATGTTAAGTGCTCACTGTGTCAACCACTAGAAGGCAAAGACATATGGAATATCAGATATGCATTTAAATGTTTTTTTCCAAACCCTTCTTTTTTTCCCTTTCTGACTCGGGCAACAAAACTCTCCTTTGACATAACACAAGGATCTCTGCGGTTAGGAGACGGGAGCAAGCTACCTAAAGCCCTTTAATAAATGGCTGTTGTTGTTCACGCTGACACCACAGGACCCAGGTGGCATGAAGCTGCCTGTTCTGTGTTTTAAATGTTACTTTTTTTATATTGACTACATACTCTTCCTGCAGTAAAGCTATTCAGATGTTCACATCAAAATTAGGCATCAAGAGCGAATGCGTCATTAGCGTTTCACTGTTAAATAATGCTATTCTAATATAACAATAATAACAAATCACTCTGAAAAATGTATCTAGCCTTATGTTAAGTGCTCACTGTGTCAACCACTAGAAGTTGAAAATGAGATCCCAAAAATGAACTTTAATGGCTAATATTGCCTTTGGGAGCAGAATCATATGATTTTAGAGAGCCAATTATTCCGGCTTTTTATCTTAAAGACCTTAGATGCTAAAGCAATTTTGGGCTAGTAATTATGCAGTAATTATGCAGAGCATGCTGAAATAGCTTTTCAGTAATTTATACACCTGTATTAATGTTATTTGTAAAGGAGGTAAAAATGGTGGCCACTATCAAGTTTTAAGAGAATTATAATATACACTGTAGACAAAAATAGCAGACTAATGCAGTCTCTGTGGAAGCACCATTTAAAAAGTAAAAGCTCAAGTGTTTTCTGATTAATGGTGCTATCTCCATTTTTTTCCACGCTTGACTAAAGTCGTTGAAGTCAATTAATTTTAAATGCAATGAAGACTGAGAATCACTGAGACAGCTGGTCTTGATTTTGCAGTATATGATGATTATATACATTTGTAATGGGTATTTAAAGGGATAGTTTACTCAATATAACATTCTGTCATTATTTACTAACCCTCATGTCATTTCAAACATGTATGACAAAATAAATATTTTTAAATATAATTGTTTAGAACATTTCTTTTGAATTTAGGCCCAATGAATGGGGTCTGAAGCTTTCAGGCATCATAAAAGCAAAAAAGAGTATTATAAAAATATTCCATAAAACTTGAGAAAACTACACAATATTCCAGGTCTTCTGATGCCATATGGTAGTGTGATAAACAGCTCAAAAAAGTTATTGTTTACTGAAAATCATAACATCTGCCCTAACTCCCCTTTGTGTGCATTGTGAAAGATTGTCAGTAAACATAAATTTACATTTTATATGATCATATGATATATGATTTCAGAGCATGTTGTAATTAACTAAAAAAAAAACTACAACTAAAACAAGTAAAACATTTTCGATAATTTAAATAACGCTGAAACAAAATAAAATACAAATATTAGATTAAACAAACTTAATACTTAAGTTAAGCCTAACATTTTTCTTGAAGAGTAACTGAAATATAAAATAGTACAAAAATACCACATAAAAAATACTATCTTGGAAAAAAGTCAATTGATTTTAGAGTCTAAATGTCTACTACAATTATTCAAAATTTCATGGAAGAATTTCATTTCGGTGTGATATATTCTTTAAGACAACTTCAACAACAACAAAAAAGCTGAAAAAAAAAAAGAAATCTGAATTGTAAAGATCTTACATTATTTTATGGAGGCCGACTTAACTCCCACCCTTCTTATTCATCTCATATTTATTTAGGATGTCAGTGTGTGTGAGACTGTGGTCAGGAGATGGATGCACCACGTGAAATAGCTCATGCTGATGGCTCAATGCAAACATCTCTGTTGACAAGAATGAATGTAAATATAAAACCACAATGTTAAAATTACAATGAATCACTTCTGATATCTGAGCAGTGTAGTCTCCCTACTGAAACAGTTTAGTTATTTCAGGGTGATATTTGTATAAAAACAGATTAGCAAAAAATTCAGAAGAGATGAGCCGCGTTCTGCATGCTAAAACGTCCCCTGTGATGAACGCAATACAGTGTACAGGCAGGGATCAATGTTGACTGTTATTAGGATAATTAGCTTTTGTCAGAGACATGAACAGATACTTTTTGGGCCAATTATTCACCACCTGCGCATTTTATATATGCAAACACCTCAGATAGTCAATTAATTAAAACTTTTCAACTTTTACACATTCTTCACACAACAACAATTGTGTGAAGAATGTGTGTGTGTGTGTGTGTGTGTGTGTGTGTTTTAAAATTTTATCACGCTTTTCTATATTTTACATTTAAAAGTTTGGGATCTTTTTAAGATATTTTATTATTTATTTAAAAGAAATTAATTTTATTTAGCTGGTATATTAAACTGATCAAAACTGACGGTAAAATACATTTGTAATCAAAACACTTCAAATAGATGCTGTTCTTTTCAATCTTGAAGGAAAAATATGTGAGTTCCCACAAAAAATGTTAAGCAGCACAACTGATTTCAACATTGATAATAATAAGTTTTTTTTCTTGAGCTTCTAACAAATCAGCATATTAGAATGATTTTTGAAGGATCATGTGACACTGAAAACTGGAGTAATGACTGCTGAAAATTCAGCATTGCTATCACAGGAATAAAATGCATTTATTATTTTAAATTGTAATAATATTGCACGGTATTACTGTTTTTACTTATCTTTGATTATATAAATGCAACTTTCATTCAAAAACATAAAAAAATCTTATTGATCCCAGACATTTCAACAGTAATTTTTTTGATTGGCAACTTGATTGACAAATTGGACGTAACAAAAAAAATTTAGTTTATGAATCTTTAGTTTGTAAGAGTAATTTGTTCGCAAATCAGACATTGCGACTCGCTTTGTTTGTTGATGAATGCTTGCAGGACAGCCTCTGTGATGCATGCCAGTCTATTTTTGTAGTATTGTTAATTTCATATTTACCTGCCCCTAAATGTCACATAAAAATGAGCAGACTGTGTTTTGGCTGTTTTATATGTCACTCACACACTCCTCACGCTGGATCTGAATAGACAGTTCTTGGCCAGAATATGCACCAGATTTAATGCCAAATATCTTCGTCTGTCTTGTCTCAGACTGTCTTGTCACGCTGGGACTGAAAAGAGTACTGTGAGTTTGTGAGAGCTGCCAGCATGCAATAACAATTCCCAGAACTGCGAGTGTCTTAGCATATCGTCATCTATACCTGTCTGGCCTCATACTGACATAGTCCAATAGGGCACATCACATCCTCAGTCAGCTATGAGAAAGTATTTGCACCCAGCGGAGCACTCAATCAAACCAGAACAGGCTTACTGACACCAAAGCCACCATAACTCTCCTCAGAACAAGAGGCTTTTGCTTCGGTCCTGCAGTTACACTCGTCCTGGACTCCACTAAGATTCAGAGCATGTTCCCGCTCTCCACACCCACGCACCGATCAGTCTCTTGGCTAATGAGTCGCGGAGCTCTTGTGGCGTGATCGAGAACCCCAGCTATACCTCCACTCGTCTGCCGATCACGAGAGGTGAAGGGGAGGGTTGGTTTCTCCCGGTCTGAAACACAGCCAAGTCTTTTCATTACAAAAAGTGGTCTGACTCTTAGGCCGACTCACTCAGTCATTTCTGTCCACTGCAGAGCCATTACAATGATTGAGGTTAATTACGTAAATATTTCAGGTTGCCCGGCGCAATGCGTTTTGTTATTGTAGCACCAAAATGGAAAATTACACGCAGCTTGTTTGTTAATTCCGGCAATAAAGAAGCTCATTGTGGTGGCGCTGCCCTGAATCTCGATTCGAACCCACGCTTCCTGATTTGGAAGTGACATTTGCAATTTCTTTGGTGCAAGCTGAATGCAGCATTACTGAATAATTTTCCAAGTCGGCAATATGTCGTAGCTCGCTGGGAAGAATTCCAGCGCAGACTTGATCAGTGTGGCCGATTCATCACATTCCTGCTGTTCTCTTCAACAGAAACATAGATTACAACCTACAGCCTGTACATAAAAGAACCAGGTCAAGGACCAACATGATGGATGGGGTACATTTAAAACATAGTTTACAGCCACCCACTTCCAAGCTTTTTCAATGACAAACAAATCTTGAAGTCCCCTGACAGATATTCACTGCTTCTTAATTGATTAGCTGCTTCTCTCACCCGAACGGAGGAGGGCTAAATTAAAGAGTGGGTGTGTTTTCCTAACTGACACAGACACTTTGTCAGTGAAAGGTTATTGGCTCGTCTCCCATCCTCATGACCTGCCAACGCAATCCGATGGGGAGCCTCCGAATCCAACTTCTAATAATTCCTCCTTGGCAGTTTTAAGCAGGATCAGTGACCGAGGTGCTTGTGTGGAGGGGGCAGCTGGGAGCGAAGTCATTTAGATTCCGATCACACGCTGGATTTACCTCCCCCTATGCAACAACACGGATAACCGCTGCTTGTTTGTGCTGTTTGGGTAAATGGCATAGCCTGTCTTTTGTCACATGCTTTGAAAAATAAGGAGACGCATTATAGAACACCTTTTTATTGATGTCCAGCTGTTGTTGAACTTAGTTGGTGGCAAGTTGTTAGGCTTTTTGCTATTGTGAAGGAGTGTGGGCTAATAATATGAATACTGAAAGCTATTTTTGACATGCTCAATACAACCTAGTGTATTGTAGCAATACCTGCCTAAAGTCTTAGCAAACATGTTTTTGTATACATGAATATGTCATATTCATGTGTACAGATCCCTACTTATATGATTTTGTATTTAAACAATATAATTATTGTCTTGTACTAAAATAGCACTGTTAATATGTCTATTTGTGTGCGCATATACTGTAAAAAATGAGTGTAATTTTAACTAAAATATTGTAAAAATGCTACAGATAAAAACTGTTAATACCAAACTGTTTAACAAATACTGGAGTAATGCCTGCTGAAAATTCAGCTTTATATATTAATATATGTATTTTGTATATTTAAATAGAGAACAGTTATTTTAAATTGTAATTATATTTAATATTTAATAGTTAGAATAAGAGACTTTCAAACACACACAAAAAAATCTTACCCCAGACCTTTGAATGGCAGTGTGTGTGTATATATTGTTTTTTGTATTTTCTATAATATTTTTATGTGTTTGTGTGTGATAGAGAGTATGCGTTAGAGAAACTCTTCTGGGTTGTTGCCAGCTGGTTGTTATGCTTAAGTGTTTCTCAGGTGAGCGACAGCTTTGTCAGTCCCATATGGCTCTGTTCAGTCCGATGCTGTCAGAAGTGCAAAAGAGCTGTGAATAGTTTTGCAGTACTTCTTGGCAGCTGTTCCTCTCATGTGGGAGTTGTCAGTGCCATACTATGCAGGTAATTAGGAAATAATATCAACCGTTCCAAATATGTTGGTTTAATATATTTATTGCTTGTGTTTTTTTTAACTAATATATTTATTTATAACCATTTTTAATGATTTTCTAGAAAAAATACAGTCTTAATAAATCTATATAAAATCACAGCATTACTTTTACATTCTTCTGCATTCAGCTATAGGTAATATATTCAAAGGTAACTGGACTTTTCTGGAAATCAAGCAGGTCATCTGGCCTAGTCGAAGTGAGTGGAAAAGAATGGCCGGCCACCTTTGCAGATCTCACCAGGGAGACGTCTGGCATAATTACACCCACCTGCCTCAATGCGCCACCCACAAACCCCTCCAAGTTGGCAGGAGAAAAAGCGGAAACCAAGGTCAAATAATACACAGCATTGAGGAAAGCTAGCTGATGAAAAGAAAAGGGCTCAGCATGGGGGCTCTGACTCACTCTGACAGAATAGAAAATTGCTTGTAATATGCCTCCAATCTGAGCTTCCTGGCGGTGAATCACGTTAGAGGTTTTGTTCCTCATCCCTTGCAGCATCAATTAAGTGACTTTGAGAGATTCGGGCTGAATCGCGTGATGGCCAAAACGCATTAAAGAATAACAGAAATGTAACTGTATGGTTGATGGGGCCAGCTGAGCTTTTAAATAATGGTTACCAAGGTCTTTCTGCTAAATGGCATAAATAAATAAATAAAAACGCTGCTGACAGTAAAAGAGATCTGGCCAATTTGATTCTGTGGATATTGCATTTTCAAAATGATAAAACTGGCATCTGTTTGACTTGAAACAGCCTGCTAAATATTAGATAATCTACAACTGTGGGGATTTAGACATGTTGTTTTAATTTATGCAATGATAGATTTAAAGATCACAGTTCTCTCAATCCACAGATGGTGAAGTAAATTTAACTTTAAAGCCTGTTTCACACCACATGCGTGTTTATTTTGCTGGTCATATTAACAGGTCGCAACATTCCCACTATGCAGCAGTCTGTGCAAGCAAAACTGTGCTGGGTCGCAGGCTTTCGCCACTGAACTCAAACGTAGAATGTTTGAAGAATATTCAGTAAATGTGACTGAATCTTGATTATTTTTAGCCGTTTGGTTTGAAATAATTCTCAATTCAGTTTTCTATTGTGATACAGGAGATTCTGTCATTTTAAAGGAATAGAAAATTCTCTGAAAATGGATCTTCTGCAGTGAATGGGTGCCGTCAGAATGAGAGTCCAAACATCACAATCATCCACAAGTAATCATACTCCAGTCCATGCATTAACATATTGTAATGGCATTTTAACTGTATACCATCACTTCTGGCCACAATATCAGTCCATAATTCATAACAATGCTTCCTCCAATGAATAGCTCCATCCCCTGTTGTCCTCTTACATAAAAGTCCACGGACAAGTGTTTTTGCTTTTAAATGGTGCTTGACCTGTGCGTATTTCTCTTGATTTTGACAAGATGACTTTTACTGGGGGAAAAAAACAATATTATGGATAGAAGACTCCTATTTTAGCTTAGAAACAATGGTTTTTTAAGTTAAAAACATCCTGATAGATTGTTACTACAAACATGAAGCTTTATGTTTCACAAGACATTAATTGATGGACTGAAGTCATGTGGATTGCTTGTGGATTATTGTGATGTTTTTATCAGATTCTCATTCTGACGGCACCCATTCACGGCAGAGGGTCCATTGGTGAGCAAGTGATGCAATGCTAAATTTCTCCTAAACTGTTCTGATGAAAAGAGAAAACTCATCTACATCTTGGACTGGCCTGAGGGTAAATTTTCAGTGATTATTTTTAATCGCACTGCAGTTTATGTGCTTCATATATGCGGTGTGAAACGGGCCTAAAATGTAGGGAGTTCATAGAAATATGTTGTTCACAAATGCCCCTCTGCTTCACAGAAGTGCAGTAAAATCAACAAAATTAAGCTGTCTAGAAAGTGTTAGAACGTTTCTTCAGTCACAGTTTGACTTGAAGGTACAGTGCTATTCTCTGAGCATTGAGTGCGTATTTGTGTGAGTATGGAAATGGAACAGAGTAACCTTAGAATGACACACTTTTCAGGGCACTGCTCTCCACTGAGGTCCACTGAGTGGCATGCATGCTCATCGCATCGCTTCCTGCTCACTAGTTCATGTCAAACTATTTTGAAGGGGGCATTCGCCTTTCTGTTTCTGCTGCATTGAATCAGATATGTTTGAGTGATTCTTCAATTAAGGGCACTTTTAACAACTTCAGCTTTGTTTCGTCTACACAATCAAGGACACACAAGTCAGAATAATTGATCAACCATCTGATCTGGATACTGGATCCAGTACAATTTAAAATGTGTAATTTTGTAATTATAAAAATCTAAAATAAAATTAGACACAACATAAGTTTAAACGACGGGAAAAACGGTCGGTGCGCCCGGCACATGGTCTAAAAGGGTGGTCCCTATTCTCTTAATGAGTAATGGGTGTGTTTTGTGTTGGTTTAACATATGGAAATTCATTATCACCACGTAAGAAAAAAATATATAGAAAAGTTAGGATTTACCAAAGCGTGACTTTTTTGTGATATAAAATTGGAAATTATGACAGAAAGCTGAAACTATAAGATTCATAATTAATAATAAGAAATTCACTATGACATAAAAGGTCAAAATTAAGACAATTATTACATATGTGACCCTGGACCACAAAACCAGTCATAAGGGTCAATTTTGTTTTTAAATAATTGTGACTTTGTATGTTATAATTACGATTTTTTTTTTTTAGCTTATAATTTCAACTATTTAGCTTTGTCCTCTCAGAAAAATGGTTCTAAACAGTACCAGAAAAGGGTTCTTCAGCTTGTAACAATAGCAGAACCCTTTTTGGTGCCAAATAGAACCCTTTTTATAGGGTTCCATAAAGAACCATGCTTTAAAAGAGCTATATAGAACCTTAATGGTGCTATAAATAACCCCTTTAAAGAGAGTTTATTTTCATTAATATTGGTAAATTTATATAATTAATATTAGTATTATTAATATTATTTGTATATATTATTTATTACTATTGTTTTTTTACCCCTCTATCTGCCTGTCTTATAATATCTTATAGTGTCTATTAGGGTTTTCATAAAAACAACAGCATGTTGTGTCAATTAGGCATTTTTATTTTATTTAATGACATGTGAAACTATAGCAAAAATGATAAA